ATTAGCTGATTGTCTGCCAAATTGGGGTATCGCTTCATCTATTTCATCTGATCTTAGGACACCATATACGTCGTCTTTCAATTATGCAGTTAACGTCATACCACTTTTCGGACCGATTTTGGTTAGTTGTTTGTTTGATTGAAGTTTGGTTGAGGTTGGTTTGGTTGAAAATGTTCCCAATGTTTGATTGAAGTTTTTAGATGTTTGATTGAAGATTTTAAGTCTTTGACTGTAGTTTATAAATACTTGATTAAAAATTTAAAAATGTTTGATTGGAGATTCTGAACGTCTGTTTATAGTCCGGCCTACTGAATAACTCAAGGGCCCGCCACCCCGTCAAATATTTAGGGACTTCCACTTTCCTACATATTTAAATGCCCCCATATTTTTGTACACTCATGTGAATCCATGCACTTAGTGATCCAGCTCTGAAATGTATATTTCATGATTCTCAAATACATTTTGAATAATGTTTTTCAACTCAGGTTTTTATACTGGGGATTTTCGCACTGGTGTTGAAATCCGGAAGAGGCTCTTTGGTGGGTTATGATGAGATAGATGATGATGATGATGATGATGGTGATGGTGATGCATTTATGTATTATTTCAAATTTCTGGATTAATTTTTATTTCAAAATAATCAAAAATTAATCGTCTCGATCTATCTTCATCTTCACCATCGTCATCGTCGTCGTCGGCCTCATCATCACCACCACCATCTAGCCACCACCATCTAGCCACCACTATCATCACCACCACCACCATCATCATCATCAACCAGGCCACCACAACTTACGTCCTCGGGATATTCAGTGATGCCATCATGGTGCCAGCCCAGTTCACATTTGCGATACTCTGCGTGCTTCAGGTATATTTTTTTCTGGTATTTTAAGAAGCGGTGGCTGTTGTTGTTGCTTTCGCTGCTGCTGTTGCTGCTGGTGGTGGTAATGGTGGTGATGATGATGATGGGGATGTAAACAACGAAGAGGTCGACGATGAAGACGATGGTAATACTGATACCAACGAAGCCCTTGCGTGCACCAAAGCAGAATTTCTCCATTTCAAGACCACCGTAAAACTTCTGTTAAAAATAAAATCATTCCAACCACCATAAACTCGCAATTAAACGCCACATGACACTGCTGCTGAATGTTACACATACATACTTTAATTACTTTACCTTAACTACTTTACCCATACATCCATAGGTGTCTGGATGTATTTCAGTTCCACTTGGTATTGCAAAGTTGATCCTCGCCGGGGCCACAGCCTTCTTTGGGTTCATGTATTTTGGGATAATTGTCTACTTGCTTATACTTCTGGATAAGAAGAGGAAAGGTGATGATGTGGTGATGATGATGATGTGGTGATGATGGTGATGATGATGTGGTGGTGTGGTGATGATGATGATGTGGTAATGATGGTGGTGTGGTGATGATGATGATGTGGTGATGATGGTGATGATAATGTGGTGGTTATGTGGTGGTGTGGTGATGATGATGATGTGGTGATGATAGTGATGGTGGTGTGGTGATGATGATGATGTGGTGATGATGGTGATGATAATGTGGTGGTTATGTGGTGATGATGGTGATGATGGTGGTGGTGATGTGATGATGATGGTGATGATGTTATGCCGATTGAAACAATTAAAACACTGGTAGTGAAGTAGTTGAGGATGACTTGAATGATGATGGTGACAGACGAGACGAGAGAAATAAGATTTGAAAATAAAACACTAACATCAAAATAGATTGACAACCCAACATAATAACGATAACGAAAACAACCTTTGAGAAACATCAGTGGCAATTATTCACAAATTTTCTCCAGGTAAAATCGCGATTGTCCCGGCTCCTATCCCAGCTAAACCAGCCCCAACAATCCCCCCAATAGTTCAACCTGTGCCTGTACCTGTGCCAGTACCTGCTCCGGTACCAATTCCTGCCCCAGTACCACAACCCTTGCCTCCTCTTCCTTTGGTACCCCCTGCTTTCCCACCGGCTCGTCCGCCATTTTTACCACCACCAGCCTACCCACCTGCGTTCCGTCCAGGGCCTGCCTTCAATCCTTACGTACGTTTCTCTTCAAGTTGTTATTGTTGTTGTTGTTGTTTTTTGGCCGTTGTTGTTGTTGTTGTTGTTTTTACAATGTTATTTTGTTGTTAGTGTTGCTGTTGTTGTTTGTTTTTTTCTGTAAATTTGTAATCATTCATCAACATTTGTACAATATTACGCACTAACTAACCAGAATAACATGAGTCTGTTACTTTTTATATATATTGAGTGCAATCATATTTTAAACCATCTGGTACTACACAGTCCCCCTACGGACCACCCCCACTGCCTGCTCCACGACCAAATCCTTTCTATGGACCTCCGTTGGGTGGAATTCCTCGCTACGGGCCGCCACCAGCTCCCCCAATGTTCAGACCTCAGCCCTTTGGAAGACCCGGATTTTATGGCGGGAGATACTAAGCGGTTGATTGATTCGAATGGTTGCATTTGATTGGCTGGCTGTTTGAATAGCTGATTTGGTTTCATTGGTTGATTGATTGGATGGTTGGCTGGTTGGTCGATTGGTTGATTGATTGGTTGGTTAATAAGTTGGTAGATTGATTAACTGATTGAAGGTTGATAATTGATGAATAGATTGATTGATAAATGTATTTTCTTAATTGACAATATGACAAAATGACAAAATATTTGACTACATGATCGATCAGTTGACTGGTTTTTTCCCTCCGAATCAATTTTTTAATCGTGAAATTTGGCTATTGTTAAAACATTTCAGTGAAAGTGATAATAAAATTGATTAAATTCATGATAACGATCATAAAAGAAGTCACTAAACTATAACTAATAATAACTAAGATAACAAAGTGATGATGATGACGACGTTCGACGATGAAGATGATGAAGTGTCAGTTTTTTGATTCAATATATTTTCTTACATAGATCACTTAACACATTGTAGTAATTTTAAATCCAATTAGCTAATATATTTTTTAACCAATTTAGATTTTTAATTTAACTGAATTGGAATTTTACTCATCACTACTACTACTACTACTACTACTACTACCACTACTACTACTACTACTACTACTACTACTACTACTACTACTACTACTACTACTACTACTACTACTACTACTACTACTACTACTACTACTACCACTACCACTACTACTACTACTACTACTACTACTACTACTATTACTTATCATTGACTTTATAATATTAAATTAATTACATTTTAAATATAATTATTTTTAGATGCTTTTAAAAAGAATTATATATATATTATGTATATATATATATATATATATATATATATATGTATATATACATGTATATATATATGTATATATATTTATCACTAATATTGTTACCAACGTTTGTCTACTAAATTATTTTTATAGATTTGTTGGTTTTAAATAAGTTACTATTTCTTTCTCTCACTCCCTATTTCTCTTTTTCTCTCTTTCTCTCTCTCTCTCTCTCTCTCTCTCTATATATATATATATATATATATATATATATATATATATATATACATATATATGTATATTTTTATATTTATATATATTTATTTCGTCGTAATTACAGCAATATTATGTTTATTTAATATTTTTGTTTTGTTTTAAATTTGTTTAATTTACTTGGAAAAACATGAAAAATTCTTTTTTTCTAATAAATATGTAGCAATAGTGTAACGGGAATGTGCCGGGCACTGGCCTTGCAATGGCCAGATTCGATCGCAAGCATATCGCCGCCTGTCATGTGATGAGTTGTTTCACATGTGTAGTTGAAATGTACTCTCTCTCTCTCTCTCTCTCTCTCTCTCTTTCTCTGTGTGTGTGTGTGTTTGTTTGTTTGTTGACATTGTTGTTTCTTAAATATTATGACGAGAGAGTTTTGTGACGAATAAATGCTGTAATATTGAAGAGTTTAATTTTTGAAAAAAAAATTCTTTAAAGCCCTACTACTAAATTACGTAATGATAGTTTTCAAAAGAGTGAATCCAAAAGGCGAACATTACTTCAAATTTAATTAACACCCCAATTAAAGTTATAACAGCTCATTTTAGAAGCAAACCCTCAGCTGAGGTTCTATTGGATGCTCTCGACCACAAAATACGAAAAATGCTGATAATGTTGACCACAAAAAATGCTGATACGTTTGACGGATGACAAGACAAAACTATAGAAAAGTTTAAACTTTGAAATCTGACCAACGAAACAATTTTGTCTTAGTTTGGCACATTAAATTATAGTAACTAAAAACTGAATTTATTATTGCTCACAACAGAAGGCTATGCCTTAGATGCGCAAATACGTAAATCTAGCTAAGAAAATACCGGCTTAAGTCTCTGGAAAAACAAGTTATAGTGTGTGTTCTGTAGTGATAACTATTTGGTCGATCCAATATACTATATCTATAAAACGTAGAAATTTCTATTACTAAATTTAAAAATTTCATGCTCAGGTAAAATCGTTCGTTCGTTCGTTCGTTCGTTCGTTCGTTCGTTCGTTCGTTCGTTCGTTCGTTCGTTCGTTCGTTTGTTAGTCTATTCGTTTTTATTCCTACATTCATTCATTCACTCGTAAATTTGTTTGTCTGTTTGTTATTTGTTCTATTCACTCGCTCGTTCATTTATTCCTTCCTTTGTCAATTTCTTCATTTAATGGCCTATTCGTTATTCTTTCATTGATTTGTTCGTTCGTTCGTTTGTTTGTTCATTCATTCATTCATTATTCATTCAATCATTCATTAATTCATTCAATCATTAATTCACTCATTCACTCACTCAAAAACCATTACATCAATTTGTGAAAATTCACGAAGGGCACATAACATTTTTTTTTATTTATAACTTGTTATTTTTTATACTCACGCTCTCTTTCTTTATCTCTCTCTCTCTCTCTCTCTCTCAACTTAACAAGTATACTAAACATTAGGCGAGTTAATAACGTTGTTATTCATCATCAAAATATTATTGCTGGCCTCGCATTGAGTAATAAATAAATGATTAAAAATTTTTTTCATCGTTACTGGGCGTATCTCTCACTCTTTCTCTGTCTCTCTCTCTTTTTTTCTCTTTTTCTATCTTTCTCACTCTCTCTCTACCTTTTTATCTTTCTTTCTTCTTTTCTCTCAATCTTTATACGGCATTCTTTCTTTCTCGTTTCATTATTTTTCTGTTTTATAACTCTGTCTCTCTTTCTCTCTCTCTCTCTTTCTCTCTCTTTTTCTTTCTCTCTCTATATCTTTTTCTTTCATTATATAAATATATATATATATATATATACCTTTCGTTTTTCTCTCTCTTTCTCTCTCTTAAAGCAGTGTTATTTGTTAAATTTTTTTTTCATTCCTTTCTTTTTTCTCTCTCTTTCTCTCTCTTAAAGCAGTGTTATTTGTTAAATTTTTTTTACCACCACCACCACTACTACTACTACTACTACTACTACTACTACTACTACTACTACTACTACTACTACTACTATACTACTACTACTACTACTACTACTACTACTACTAATACTAATACTTTTGCTACAGCAATTGTCCTTAAAATGATTATATTGTTAATAATTCATCTTGTTCTTCTTGTTCTTGTTTTTCTTGTTCTTCTTGTTCTTGTTCTTCTTATTCTTCTTGTTCTTCTTTTTCTTCTTCTTTTTCTTCTTCTCCTTCTTTTCAATATTAATATTATAGTTTTTGCTTTATTATTATTATTATTATTTTATTATCATTTTTATTATTCTCATTGTTGCATTTTGCTGGAACTTGAGGCATTGTAACATTGTGAAGCTGCCTTTTGTTGCCGGGACACTAACACAATGTACGTAAGTTAAGTTGGCGAGATCTGCTCGTCAATATTATCATTGTTGTTATTTGCTGTCTTCATTATTATTATTATTATTGTTATTATCATTTTTTTTATGTTTATGGAGGTATTGATGATGATGTTGTTGTTCCTACAATTGTTGCAATGTTAATACAACAGCAACCAACACAATGCCAGTTAAGCTAGTAAGCTGTACGAGGCGAAGTATTATTTTTTTTATTATTATTGCTATTATTATTATTATTATTATTATCATTATTATTGTTATTATTATAATAATTGTTATTATTATTATTTATTATTATTATTATTTTTATCACGTCACCATCCAGTCGATGAAATCTACTGTCTATGTACGTAAAATATCACTTGTTTAAGTCCCCATCGTCGTCCTCTTCATCATCATCATCATCGTCGTCGTCATCATCATCGTTACTATCATCACCCCCACTATCATTAGAAAAATCACCATCATCATAATCATCAGCAGCAGCAGCAATATAATCATAATCATCATCGTCATCATCATCGTCGATCGTCATCATCTTAAAAGAATTCTTAGTTCGTAATAAGATTGATTATACAATAAAACTAATATACTTCAAATCATTTTTAAGTGTACGTTTATGTACAAATATAATAGTAGTTATTATTTAAATATATATATATATATATATACATAAATAAATTTATTATGATATAATATAATTCAATTGTGTCTCAGTGGGGATATGCCATTAAGTTGAAAAGAAGCTTATATTTTTAAATTTTTTTACTCGCGTTAAAATCTCTTTCTCTCTCTTTTTCCATATATTTTCTGGGCCTTTCTCTCTTTCTCTCTCTCTCTCTCTGTCTTTATATATATATATATGTATATATATATATACTTACATACATACATATACAAATTACATAATGACATAGATACTATATCAGAATTATTTGTATAACTTTTGCCAAGTTAGAGAGCCATCATTAATAATATACTGTTATATAGACATATATATATATATATATGTATATATATATATATATATATATATATATGTATTTTCTTTTATTTATTCATTTCAATACTCTATGGTACGCCTTTTTCGTGTAACAATTTCGAAAAAATTATGATATAAAAATTGCTATTTAATTATATTTTGATAAAAATAGTTTATAAAATAATTAATTAAATGAATTATTAATTATATTATTATAAAAAGAAGAATAATAATAATAATAATAGCAATAATTAAAAGATAACTTAGTTTGGAATCTTGTTAGCAAGGGTATGTCGCGACTCAAAAAACTAATTTTTTTATTTCATCTTTCTTAGCCGCCATCGTCATCATCATCCTCACCATCACCATAATCATTATCATTATTATTATCATTATTATAATTATTATTAATATTATTATTATTATATCAATTGAATGCATCATTTAGAACTTATCCTTCCTTGTTGTTCGCATTCTTCTTTAGGATGTCGAGCTTCGTAGAATATTTTAATTCTTAATTTTAAAACAGTTTTACTTTTATTAATTGACAATTAATTTATTATTCATTGACAATTTTTTTAACGCGTGATTTATGATGAAAATAAAATGATGTTCCCATATTTCTGCAATCGCATATTACGGTAACTCGAGTTATTGCTTTGGGATTAATTAGCTTTATAGACGTTTTTTTGTTATCTTTGCGTGGTTTTACCGGCTCGTCTCTCTCCCCCCCCAATCTTCTTACTTGTTTCATCATCAGTGGTATAATTTCATCTTCGATTTCGGTGTTATTTATAATCATTTTAGCTATCTACTTTATAGCTTTTATCATTTAGATTGTGATTTATCATCATTTCATTGTCGTAATTCATAGTTCAGTATCATAATTCATGTTTCAGTATCGTAATTCATATTTCAGAATCATAATTCACGTTTCAGTATCATATTTCACGTTTCAAAATCATAATTCACGCTCCAGTATCATAATTCACCTTTCAGTATCACAATTCACATAATTTTTTCAAATTCCATTTCATCACAATTTTTTTCATCATCACTTCAGCCGTCATTTTCGTCCTAACATCATCAGCATTATCATCGTCATAAACACATCACCAAACCACACCAAACCACACCGACTTCATCATCACCATAACCACACCACCACCACCGTCATCGCCAGGAAAGAAAATGGCCATGCGTTACAACGGTCACGGGGGCTGGTACAACCCCTACGGTCGACCCCGAGACGACCACCCGAGCCATATCTATCCGGGTAAGCCACCGGCCCTATTCGGCTCGATACCGATCACTTTACCGGCTGCTCTTCCAAATCAGTATGCGGTTCGTAACTTCGTACCCCCAAGATGGGACCGTGATGATTTCTATGATTTCAGAACTCCTTGTTATAGATATGACGATGATGATAGTGATTGGAGAGTTAATGCCAGAGGTTGGTTGATTGCTTGCTTAGGTTGAGCGATTGATTAATTTCAAAATTTGGACAATTTATGCACAGTTTAAACAATCTAATCTTTAATCGCTGACTTCAACAACTAACACATACAGAATCTCATCGATATTTCATACCGAATCGTATCGATATTTCATACCGAATCGTATCGATATTTCACACCGAATCGTATCGATATTTCATACCGAATCGTTTCGATATTTCATACCGAATCGTTTCGATATTTCACACCGATTCTCATCGATATTTCATATCGAACCTCATCGATATTTTATTCATACCGAATCGTTCCATTGTCAAAAACCGACTGAAATATTCGATTTTTTCTTCCAAGTGGAGAGCAAAATAAAGGAGGTCCTGGAGGAAACGAGGGAGAAACGTCAACCGACGGATTTGAGTAAGTGATGATGACGATGATGATGAAAGTGATAATGGTGATATAATTGAAGATGACGATAATGATAATGAGAATCAATTAACCAACCATCCAACCAACCGAAAAACCATCCAACCAACCATCCAACCATCCAACCAACCAACCAACAATCCATCCAACCAACCAACAATCCATCCAACCAACCACCGAACCACTTAGCCCCAAATGAAAAATCCACACTCCGTGGCATAGGGATAACCCTGGCGGTAACAGGGGGTATCGGGATAGCCATTAGCATCACGAATTTGTTTCTGGGTTACATTACTTCAATCACCTGCTTGGATACGAGCTCTCTAGCTTCAGCTCTGCAGAGGACCAATGCCTTCAGCTTGCATAACGCTATGCACATTTTGCCTCTGGCTGGCTCGATGATGGTAAATGTTGAAATAGAAAAGTATTTTGGCGATGGTGATAAATGTATATATATATATATATATATATATATATATATATATATATATATATATATACGTGATGTTACGATGAATTTATGATGAAATTTTTATGATGACGACGATGATGATGACAATGGTGATGATGATGATGATGACAATGGTGATGATGATGATGATGACAATGGTGATGATGATGATGATGACAATGGTGATGATGATGATGATGACAATGGTGATGATGATGATGATGACAATGGTGATGATGATGATGATGACAATGGTGATGATGATGATGATGTAGATATATAACGAAATAATATTTATTATTATTATTACGACAATTATTACATTATTAATAATAATAATTATTTTTATTATTATCAATAATATAATTATTATCTATAATTTTTAAATTATTTTCTTATAATTTTTGATAATTTTATGAAATTAGGCATTTGCCATTGGCATCTTATTGTTGTATCTCAGATTCAGCAGAGGAAAAATAGTGAGTGAATGAGTGAGAGAGAGAGAGAAAGAGTGAGAGTGAAAGAATGAATGAGTGAGTGAGTGAGTGAGTGAATGAGTGAATGAATGAATGAATGAATGAATGAATGAATGAATGAATGAATGAATGAGTGAATGAATGAATGAATGAATGAATGAATGAATGAATGAATGAATGAATGAATGAATGAACATCATCATCATCCTAAGTTTATTATCATCATCATTGTCGTCGTTGTGTAAATTTTTTATTTTTCCATATACTCATAATTCATCGTTATCATCATCATTATCGTTATCATCATCATCATCAACAACAAAATCATTATCATCATCAACAACAACAACATCATCATCAACAACATCATCAACAACAACAACAACATCATCATCATCATCAACAACAACAACAACACCATCATCAACAACAACAACATCATCAACATCAACAACAACATCAGCTACAACATCA